TTCAGTTTGACCAATTTCAAACAAAATATTATATATATATAAATTAAAATTATTCATTAAATTTCAATTTTTGTATTCCAAGATTTTCTTATTACAGCTACTGTTTGTGGCAGTATTTCATTTAATTTTTTTAAAATTAATATATTAAAAGTAGGTACTGATGGGTATCAATTTCCCTGACATGACAAATGTATCAATAAACACCCTATCCGCTGAGTGACAAATACGGATATACAATAAAAGTTAAAAAAACAAATAAATTATATTTTATAACAGAATAAATTAAAATAATAAAATATAAGTGACTGATGATAGTTTTATTGGGGAGGGAGATAAACAATGGACTTTTTTTATAAATTAATGATTAATTAAGAAACATTTTAATATCACAATTAAAATCATGAGTGATCTAATAAAAAGTAAAATCACAAAACAAATGCCTTTATTTCCAATTGTTACATGATTGCTAAATCACTTTTACTAACATAACAGTATGCACAGTTAATTAAATCAATTTACAATCAGTTAAATGAAGAATTTTATTGCCTTTTTAAGAAAAGTTTAATGGCTTTTTTTTCTGTTTATCAAAGTCATTTCCTTTTCCTTTTTTTTTTTTTTTTTTTTGTAATGAAATATTAAAAAAGAGCTTTCATAAAAATTAGTTAAAATACATTTATTTTTATTTCAAAATATCACAGAATACACTAAATGTTGTATAATGATTAATTACATGAGTTATTCATGAAAATAAACAGTTTCTTTTTGTTAGGCCTGGTTTACATAAACTTAGTGCTAAGTGATGAAGAGTGTCATCTAAATTAATGTATCCACAATTAGAACAAGAAACTATTTATTTATAAAGTGAAATTTATGTTTGTTGCCAGTTTGAATTTCCAAGTCAAGTGCAAGGGATTTTGTGAAAATAATCAAACATATTAATTTGAATTATTTTGTAATTATAAATACGTTTTATTATTTGTTTATTTTTTTTTAAATTATAGTGAATCATTAATAAGAGCTGTAACACTATGTGACTGAACCTGAGAAAGGGAAAAGTTTTCTATTTAGCCAATAATTATTTAGAAAATAAATAAAATACTAACTTCTATTAATTCACCATGTTATTGACAGTTCAAATACTAAATCATCACACACTACAGTCATTGAATATATGATATATATGACTGAAAAGGATTAATGATCAGAACTAAGCCCACGCAAACTAGGCCTTAATATAAATGATAAACTTTGTTTATATCTGAAATTCTTTAATATTTTGAAATCTGATTAACTATTCACTGAAATGAATTTTCGATACAAGCCTTGATCAAACTTTGTATACACTATAACATATATAACATAATATATTCATTTGCAAGAGACCCAGGAAACAAAGCTGGATTTTTTTTTTCGCAATAAAAACCAGTTCATTATTATTTATATCACTAAAACATTATTTAGCCCAACAAATAACACTATATTAAATTTGTACTACTTTATTACAAGAATAAAACTATTTGAAAATAGCAGTATACAAATAGCATTATAATCACAATAACTGTCTCATGTTTATCAAAGTCATACATAAACAAGCTGATTACATTCAATTTAAATATACAATATTGCCTTAATAACCACATAACAACGAACTCCCACTATTGCAGTGTTGATGATGAATTCTAGGAGTAATAGAAGTATTATAATAAATAACAATAACTTCTGAATAGGCACCGGAAAAACCCAAAACTGCAATAGTATGATAGTTCTTGTAGTGTTAGAAGAAACCAGTTTTTTTTTTATTATTTATTTATATATAGTTTTTTAAAAATCTACTAATCATTGTTATAAAGGCAGTCATCATGACAAAAATACAGTCATCAGTGATTATTTGTTTCTATGCAGTTCTATGTATGTGTTCATGTGTGTATGTATTTATGAGAGTGTAGGCGTGTTTTAATGTGTGTAAAATTAATAAAAATATATTTATAAAAAACATTTAAATAAATTAATTATACTATACAAACTTTAAAACAAAGTAAAAAATACTTTAATAAATCATAACACTAATGAACTACTATTTTGAACAGATCACAAAGCCACAATTAACAATAATCCATACACATCAAAATTTCTAAAAAAAGAAGTCTTAATATTTAAGAAAAGTTAAATAAGTATGTATACCGTTCTTTCACAAATCAATAATAAAAAAAAAGTCACAAGTTAGAAAATACAATTATTTGCTATTTATACGTTATTTCAAAAACTATTTTCATTTTCAATCTACTCTATCTAACTTCCATAGTAACTAGGAATTATTTTGAACCAATCTTAGTAAAGCCTATTTTTATAAAAAATGGATCACTTTATTAAGCCTTAGTTTTAAAAATTCAAGTGTAATATTAATTCTATTACTAAATAACTTTAGACAAATTTAAGATAATATTAATAATTTATACCAGAAAAGAAATTACAGATATATCAAGTTCAAATACTGGCTAATGGAAATAAATTGAACAAATAAGCTTATCTTATTTTAAATATGGGTATGTAAATTTAGAATAATAATAATAATATAGAACTAATAATTCAATTTTCTAGCAAAGATATTCATAAATATATTTAAATTAATTATTATAATAAACAAATATCATATATCCATTTTAATAAATATGATAGGTTTACCATATTTACCGATTTATTAAATATGGTAATATTTGTTATAGAAAATCAATCAATTTCTAAGTCAGTATAGTAAAAAAATAACAATAATAATTATTAGCTTGACACAAACTCCAGAGAGAGCTTCTACTCTTTAATAGAACTTAATTTAACAAGTGGAGTTAGTGTAAGCAAATGAGATAAGAAATTAAACAAGATTTTAAAAGAAATTAAGGAATGATTATATTATAATTCACGAAAACCATTTTGGAGTGATGTAATAATGATCACAAAACCTCTCAACTTCAAAATAACTCAACTCATAAACACATAAACATAAGCATCTAGAAAATTATTTTGTTATTATCAAACTCATTATTATATTTTATAAAGATTAAGAACAATTAAGATTTGAGATAAACTGGCATAAGCAAGCGCTTAGTCAGATAATAGTTTTCTAAAACATTTCCCCTAAATTTTCAAATATGTTTTCATGAAGTCTTGATTAATTAGTTTTAGTATATTCAAAATAATCACTTAATTTTAACCCTAGAACACTAAATGGAGCACATGGCTTAAATTCAGTATTAGTAATCTGAAATGTTTTCAGGAATCACTAATAAACCCCTCTCAATGTATTTTATGATCAATCATATAGTAATTTGTTAGTTTATATAATTAAATATTAACTATAGAAAATCAACTAGAGTAAAGCATACACCATTATTAACTACACCTAAAATTTATGTCCATGCTAAAAGATATGTTTTACAAAAATGTTTATATACTAATTTTTACTATATATAATAAAAAAAAATAGTAGGAAGTATTTACAAATAGCTCATAAGCTTTTAGTAATTAGGATTGATCTTGCTTTTAACACACAGCTTTTACATACCTTCTTTCAAGAAAAATTGCAGAAAATATCTTTCTACCATGTATTAATCTAATAAGGCATAGGTGGAGGAGTGGGAAAATCTGTGTATCACAGTACTTGTGACATTTCAAAATAACCACTATGCACATAAATTTTATGTATATTAGCATTCTAGGGTTAAAATAGCAACTTCTTAAAACTTTTATGAACTTGTTATTCTATAATAAATTCTTTTCAGCTTTTGTGAGTAAAAACATTTTTGCCTATAAAATATTTCCTTTTTTCCAAAAGAAAAAAATTGAACAGATTTGACAACTATAAACAAATAAAATTCCAAATTTGAATGAAATAAATTGGGAGAAATTTACAAATATCCAAAACTAAATCATGTTAAAATAAAAAAAATATTAGTCAAAATATTTTTTTCCAAGTTGAAAACCATTTTTTTTACTACATTTTAAATTAATACAATAAATAAGGCACACTATTAGGGAGTGAGGGCACAGCGAGGGGCAAGCACTTACATCAACCAGTATCTTCATAGAATGGCAACACTAGTCAAAGGCATTCTTATGTTGATAAAAACTTAACCTATAATTTAACAATATACAATAAAAGTTAACCAATAAAAATTTACTTCAAAATTTAATGTTTTAAACATTAAATTTCAATAATAAACATAAGTTGACTATTTTTAAAAAATGTATTAATAATATAAATAAATTCCACTACAAAATTTTGTATCCCATGCATTCCTAGTTCATCTACAACCTAATATTTAATAATATAGGATTACTTATTTTATCTATTAAAAAAAATGAATCCAAAGTAAACTCAATATCTTGAATACAAACTAATTTAAATTTTCATTAAAAGAAGAAAATAAAAATCAATTAATTAAAAAAATTGAAGTTAATGTATGAACAATCATAGGCAACGCAGGTATACAACAATTTTGAAAAATATTAAATCAATGCCATTCGAAACTGGAATGTTTGTACAAGCTCGCATTCACTCCTCGCGTTTATTGCAAATTTTTGTGCCCAATAATGCAACTAGACAAGTGTTATATTATTAAAAATGGAGTTATTACACACTACATAACATTTTATTCTTGGGCACAGAATTTTTTTCAATCTAAATGTGAGTTTAGGCACTGTCTTTAACTATTGATGTGACCTGCAATAAAATATTGCCTATATTGCTATGTAATAAAAAGAATTTTCATTTATCCTTCAAAAAGGTGCATACTCTAGAAAAATTTTAATGATTTTATCACAAATTGTTAGATTATACAGAAGTTTAGAGCGATTTTGATTTTTCACATTATTACTGTTATAACAGTTTTAGGGTAACTTGTCTTATTTCTTTACAATTTCTAAGATAACCTACATAACGGTTTAACAATTTTACCTAGAAAATACAATAACAAGATTATACAAAATAACAAGATAGAAAGTTATTCCTAAAACCAAGAACTACCACCACCAAATTTACTGGTAAAGCCTCCTATTCCTTTACCAAAAGCATTACCAACTCTACCAACAACATTTGCTGTTGCATTACTAATTTTTGCAACATAGTTTGCATCTTCTCCAGTAGCATCTCTCACTGTAACTTTACTTTTAATAGTTTCGTCATCATCTACCCCTTCCATATAACCTCTGAAAATGATGAAATATTGTTAATTTTTAAATAGAAAAAAAAAATCTAAAAATAGTTCATTAAAAATAGCATACAATTTATACATTGAAGATCAAAAAAGCTTAATAACATTGATTATTAAATTGAATAAAAAATTGTTTCCAAAATTTCAATAAGGCTAGCAGCTGACGATGGAAGCTTGTGGAGGCACACAAAAAATGTCTTAAAGCATCATACGGCATCGACACCTGTTAGGAAAGAAGAGGGTTCTTGGGATGTGACGGATGAATACAAATCTGAACTCTTCGTTGACTATCTTTCATCTGTTTTCACACCGCATCATACTGAAATCACTAATACAGAACATGTGATGAAAACGTACTCAATACTTTAGACATTCCACTACAAATTCACTCCCTCCTCCATCTTTTACTCCCACAGAGGTCGCAGAACACATTAAACATTTGCCAAAAGAGGAAGCCCCTGGCCATATGATAAATGCTGTAGGGCTCCAGCAAATGCCAAGAAAGGCTCTAAGTGTTCCTTACTACTATTTACAATGCAATACTTAGGACTACTAAATTTTCTATACAGTGGAAATATTCATATATCTCTATGATTAACAAGCAGAAAAAAGACAAATATAATCCCTCATCCTATCGTCCAATCAGCTTACTTTGCATTTGTTCCAAAATATTTGAAAAACTATTATACAGAAGAATACTTGACATACTAACAGAAAAGCAAATAATACCTGACCACCAATTTGGATTTAGAAAATTTCATTCAACAACACATCAATTACACAGAGTGACAGACTTCATTTCAACAGCACTAGAGCAAAAGTTATATGCAACAGGTGTATTTCAGGATGTCGCTCAAGCATTTGATAAAGTCTGGCACCAGGGTCTACTTTTTAAACTCAAGACTCTACTACCCAGCACATAGTTTTTAAATCCTTCAATCTTTCCTTTCCAATAGATTTTTCTCCGTCCGTCAGGGCCCTGAAATTGCGTCTATTTGACCAGCCCTAGCAGGAGTACCTCAGGATTCTGTACTCGCACCATTCCTGAACACTGTATACACACACGACATACCAGGCATTCCCAACATCCTAACAGCAACATACGCAGACGATACTGCAATCATAACGAGACACCAAGACTCTACACAGGCCTCACTAACGCTACAACATCACTTATACAAACTACAAGATTGGTGAAGGATGTGGAAAATAAGATTGAACTTTGACAAATGTCAACACACAACATTTACATTAAGACATGAAACTTTCCCTCCTATATATTTCAATAACATACCATTACTGCAAACAGACATGGTCAACTACCTAGGAATAACATTTGATAGAAGACTGACTTGGGACCCACACATTAAGAAAAAACATAAAATTTTAAATCAAAGAAGTAAACTGTTATACTCATTACTCAGACCACAATCAAAATTAAAATTGAGACAAAAACTTCCTACCTACACATACTTACTAAAACCGATTTGGTCTTACGTTTCTCAAATTTTCGGTTCTGCTAAAAAGATAAATGTACAAAAATTCCAAACATTTCAATCCAAAATGTTTAGACTTATTACACAAGCACCTCGATACGTTTCAAACGTGATTTTACACACTGATCTTAGAATGGCCAAAGTCAGCGAATACAAACGGACTCACTACAAAAGATTTCATGACAATTTACAGGGACATAACAATAAGCTTATAGTAAAAATGGCCTCTACTAACATGCCTGACAACATCAATGCCTGACAACATGAGGCTGGAAAGGTCGTGGATGAGAGACCTTCTGTAAATTCTATTTTGAGCCTGAAATAAGGCCATGGAAGAGACACCGCTGGGTATTTTTTGTTTTCTTCCTCATGCCTGACATGCCATTATTATTTTGTTACTAATCTTACCAGACAATTTACTGATTGTCAATTGTGTATTAGACAGGTGTGGATATAAAAATAAAGTTAAAAAAAAAAATAAGTATCTAGGAACTGTTATTGTAAGAGTCCAGATCACAGTGTAGTTTATGTTTTTTTATCAGCAGCTCAGAAATCGATAAAAGATTATAATAATTCAAACCATGCAAAATAGGTTGTTTTAATGCAATTTTATGCTGCACAAATTGCATATTTTGGTGTGTTTTCCATGATATTGCATATGTTTTGGATTATTATGTACATAGTTGCACATTTAATGGTCAAAGATGAAAAAAATTAAAAATAATGATATTATAATAATGATGATGACAGTATTGGGATAGGTTGGAATGTCAGCTGTATAAACTGTGTAAAGGATACGAACTAGGATACTACCTTGAGGAACACCAGCAGACTGGAAAAAGAGGGATGAATAAGCATTTTTTTCATTTACTTTAAAGTATCTATCAGTAAGGTAGAAACAGATAATGAGGAAGTATGTAGATGGTAGGAATTTTCGGAGTTTGTACAGCAGTACCGGGTGTCAAACTCTATCAAATGCCTTTTCAACATCGAGAAAGACTCCCGTACAGTACATTCTGCACTCCAATGCAGAGGATACTACATCTACAACATGACGGCATTGCTGTATAGTGGACTGGGAGAAGCGGAATCCAAATTAGTAATGTAGGAGATAAGTTAAAATTAGTTTTAAGTGAATATTTTTGTATCATAAAATGATTACAGTTTCTTGAGTCAATTATGGTCTAAATATGCAGAAAAAATATGAATATTATTTCAGCGAATAAACTAGCAAATCAATAATGGAAACCAAATATTTCTAAAAACTCTCCATCCAGTTACACTTTACAAATGTTTGATGGACCATCAACTGCCTCCTGAAGTGACTATAACAACATAGGCACATGGTTAAAAGCAGCTTCATTTTAAGGCAAACATAATATGGAAGAAAAATAAAATATCTCGAGATTATAAAACTGGCTGTAATAGAGCCAATATTTAAGAACAGAGACAACAGGATATATGGAGAAACCATACATCCATTTCTCTCCTAAGTATCACTTGAAGGTGAATTTGAAGGTGATTTGAAAAAATCAAATAAGGAAATTTGTTGAAAGGCAATTTTCTTATTGAGAAGCACTCATGGTCTCATACTCACAATGAGGCAAATGACTAAAACGGTGGTGATAGAATCAAAAGAAACGGTCAGTATGCTATATAGACATCAAAAATGTATTCTATTCAATAGGATTAGATAAAAAAGACTTAAAGAATACATTGTTCGAATTTGAAACAAATGTAGAAATGCAGTCAGAGCCCACTGATACTTCTTTTGAAATGAAAATATATTTTATTATTCTGGGACTGTTGTCCCTTTAGAACAAATTATAAGAATTGAATACATATATAAGTGGTCATAAATAGAGTAAATATTTACAATATTGGTTATTTAAAAGTAAAAATACAGACGGAGAGAGAAAAAAATGAAAGGTGAACATATATATAATACAAACAGAGAAAACTAAAATAACAGAAATACTTTCTGGGGGTACTTAGATACCTCTCTTGGGTATATTTCGTAATCAGGAAGATTGAGAAAGGAGTAGGTGTTTAAAGAGGAGAGGTTTGAAAGAGGAAACTGATTTTGCCTGTCGAATATAAGCAGGGATGGAATCCCAGATGGAGGTGGCTTGAATTGCAAATGATTTGTCAAATGCAGCAGTTCGGTAAGGAGGGAGATAGAGGTCAGAAGTGCGAGATCTAGTGGGACGGGATTGGATGGAGTATTTAAATTGTAAGCTATGGAAAATATAGGAGGGTCGATGAGTTCTAATGATATGGTACAGAAAGGTAGCTAGGAAGTACTGAAGGCAATAGGATTGATAGAGCCACTTCAACTCGGTGTGATACTGGATAATATGCATATCTCTTGAGATTCCAAAACCAAAACGTAATCCGCAATTCATTAGGCATTTAAGTTTGGCCTCGAAATTTCCCGAGAGTCCACCGTACACCATACAGCCATAGTCGAAGTGGGAGAAAACAAGAGAGGAAACTAGGAGTTGACAGGACTTATATGGAAGGAGATAATGTAGGCGATTAAACTGTTTTAGGGTGGAGATAGTGCGACGGGAAATTTGGAAGATGTGCGGTTTCCAGGAGAGGGTTTGATCAAAAGTAACACCTAGGTTTTTAGCAGTAGTATGGAATATGATAGGTGGGTTGTTCTGGAGAAGATTAAGGGATGCCAGGAAGGATTTGAGGAATGCAGGGGATCCAATCAAGATGGCTTTCGTTTTCTCAGTGTTCAGAGTGAGCCTGTTGAGGTTTGCTCATTCACTTATTCTATTAATATCTTCTTGGATTCTTAGAATGGCATCTGAGGAATTGGTCGGATTGAAGGAGAGGTAAATCTGAACGCCGTTGGCATACAGGTGGTATTGACAGTGCAGGATTGAGGATGGGAGGTCATATATATATAGATGGAAAAAAGGGTGGGGGGAAGGGAAAAGCCTTGTGGGACACTTCTAGACAAGGGTAGAGATTCTGATGGGGAGCTATTAGGGATCACAACATAATGGGAGCGACCGGTTAGGAAGAATTGGAACCAATTACGGGCACTAACAGAAAATGATATATTTTTAAGTTTGGTTAGGAGGATGTTGTGGTCTACTGAATTAAAAGCTTTAGAGAAGTCAAGGAGAATAAGGATGGTTAGTTTCTGCTGATCTATGGTTGTATGAAGGTATCGGGGAACTTTGATTAGGGCAGACTGAGTAGAGTAGCCAGGCCTGAAGACGGACTAGGTAGAGGTTTAGGAGATTATTGTGCTCTAAAAAATGGGATAGCTGGGATTAGTGGTTCTAAAGGTTTGGAGAGGTTTGAAAGAAGGGAAATTGGACGGAAATCATTAAGAGCTGATGGGTTAAAGGTCTTCTTCAAGGGGCATACTAGAGCGGTTTTTCAGGATGTAGGGAAGGTAGCATTTTGAAGTGAATAATTATAGATATGATAAAGGATTAGGGGAATAGATGGTAGTGATCATCATTTAGGAGATCATCAGGGGTAATGTGGGAAAAAAATAAGTGATCAGGATTAAAAGAGGAAAACATGGGAGATGGATCGGGTGCAGGAGTTGTGGTTGCGAAAGGGCAGGAGACAAAGTGAGCGTTGAGGTTATTGGCAGAAATGGAAATGGACTGGGACTGAGGTGTATGACCAATGGTCAGTTTTCTGAGAATAGCCCACGTGGCCTTGGTATTAGGGGAGTTAGATAAGGAATGATAGTAGTAACGGGATTTAGCACGGTGTACTGCTGATTGAGTGCTGTTCCAAAGCTATTCGAAGGAGAGAAAATCTTCATGAAGATGAGTTTGTTTAAACCGTCGCCTTGCAGCACCTTCTTCTCTCACACACTCTCTTAAAGCAGGAGTAAGCCAAGGAGCGGGCGAATGTTGGATGGTTTTTATGATAAGAGGAGCATGTTGGTCAAGGATAGAATGAAGATGAGAGGTAAGGGTTTCTACCATGGTGTTGATGGATTTTGAGGAGTTAATTGGATCATTTGGATATCGTCAAGTCCACTGGATACCGTCAAGATCTTTTGACAGTGTTTCATGAGTGAGGGAATTTAGGTTTCGTAAGGATATTGTTCGGGGAGAAAAGGATGGGACAGAGATATTATAAGAGATCTGGATAAGGTCGGGGGAAGATAGAAACGAGACCGTGTGTTGAGATGCGGCAAGGAGTTTGTCTGTGTAATCTAGGATAAATAGATCGAGTCAGGATTCCGAGAACTGAGTATGGTGGGTTGGGTTGTAGGGTACTATGTATAGGCTGAGAGAATGAAGGAGGCTTGTTAGGTAGGAATAATTGGAGGATGGCATTAGTAAATTGGTATTAAAGTCTCCGGAGAGGATGACATTTGAGTAGGAAGAGATTAAATTGCACAGAGAAGTCTCAAATAATTCATCAAAAGGAATTCTAGGAGGGTGATATATGACAGATAACTAAATGGTCGATGAAGTTGTGAGGATTTCGGCAAAGAGGTATTCAATGTGCGGTGAATTGGTCAAGGAAGAGCAATGAAGGATTTTGGATTTAAGGCTGTCATGGACAAAGAGGCCTACTCCACCACCCCTACGGTCTAGTCTGTCATGACGAAGGATAGTATAGTTAGGTATAAGAATCTGGAAAGAGGGGATTGTGGGTTTCAACCAGGTTTTGGATACAGCAATTTAATGGTAGAAGTTATGGAGAAAAAAGTCATAAACTTCGTCAAAATGGGCTAAGAGTGACTGAGCGTTGACATGGCAGGTTAAAATGATATTAATCATGGATGAAGGAGGAGTGGCTTGGTAAACGAACAGGAGGATCAAGGATAGGAATATTTACACAATAGCCAGAGCTAATGCAAGCCCAGAGTTCATAATTAATGATAATATCTCTATTGAGAAGAACAATAAATTTATAAAATTTTCCAGATATTAATAATGAGGGAAAACAGAAAATATAAAATTTAGTCAACGAAAAGTATGTTCCTACTGTGAGAAGGAAAAAAATTACATAAATTAAAATTTCTAAGCAGATAAAATCTACAATGTTCTCATAAGCAAAAATAAAATTATTACCTAGGTAAATAAATAAAATAAAAGCAACAAAAACATAAACCTGAAAATATGAAAAAGCAAAAACAAAATAATGAAACATGTATGTACATTTCAAGCAAGTATGTCCAAATCTGTTGGTGAATTAATGACAACCTGCTGGCCACCATCCCTATGACTCTTCACCCTACCCGCACCAAACACATACCCACACATATCTAATTTTCCTGGCAGACCCCTTTTGCCGGGCCAACTAGTACAAGTGTCTGTTGGTTACCGTCATAGCTTCGCTCAGGTAAATCTTGTGGGCGTCATTTTCTTTCTATCCAAGGTGGCGTGTTGAAAGGCCCCTTATAACCTTTCGTCTCTGGACCAACTCATCCCTAATCGACTGCCGGACGAACCTTACCAGAAATGGCCCGGGCGTATCATCTTGCCTGGATCTTATCCGTTCTACACAGTCCACATCCTCCACCTTTAAATTCAGGCCCAGACCCGCCTCCACGCTCATCACCAGGCCCGTGGGAATCTCCCCAGATCTCATTGGGACTCCTCTTATTTCTATTGACCTGGAAAGATGCAGTTGCTCACTTTTGTTGAGCCTGATTTCGGGCACCGAGACCAGAGACTTCAGAGTCGTGCTTTCCAGGACCAGTCCGTCGATCTTAGAGTTTTGAGCTTCCAGTAGTGACTCTATAGTATCCAATTTCGCCGCATTCTCGAAAGTGATAGAAGCTTGCTTTTCGAGATACTTTTAGTTCTTTCAACTCGTTAGCATTGGCATCGAGGGAGAATTTTAATCCCTTGACCTCTTCTATAAGATCTTTAATGGCAGAAAGTAGCAATTGGAACGAGGCGTCGACAGTTAGTTGTTGTAATTAGTGCAGTAAGAAGACTTTTCAGTGCCCTTAAAAGGAAATTCATATGTAGAAGAGAAATCACTAAAAACAAAAACATTTCTGCTTACAAGTCAACTTTTCTACCAATATTAAAGCACTCATCCAAATCATGGGTTTTTAACCTCCAAGAATAAGAAAAGACTGGAATGAGGTAATATAAAAATAAGGTACCTAGAGAAGGTAGAATAATGCACTAAAAGGGATAAGATTAGAAACATAGTAATAAGAAGTAAAATGGACGTGAAACTATTGGAGAATATTATAAAGGAGCAAAGGCTCAGATAGTATGATCATCTCAAGAGAATGCCAGATAGCAAAGTGGCCAGACTAGTATATGAAGCCAGGGTTGATGGTAGCACCAAGACAAATTTGGGAGAACAGAGTCAGAGATGTCTCTCTTAAAGAGAAGACATCAACTGGAATAAGCGGAATGAGTTTACAATAGACCGAACCACTTGGAAGAAGCTTTATAAAATGAAACATCACACTGCTCAGCAGCAGTTTAGATGATTGAAGTATGATTATGATGATAAAATTAAAAATAAATAAAAAAACACTATTTTGGACAATTATTCAAAATTTTAAAACTGATGTGTATGACAGCCCTTCATATATTCAAACAAAATAAAAGATCGAAATTGCAAAATTTCAAATTTTAAATGATCAAGAATAATTTTACATGAAAACGTTTTATAACACATCCTTTAATAATTATCAAGCCAATATATCTCAAATGAGAAAATGAAGTCAAATAGTAAATAGGGTTAAAGAAAAAAGTAATTATCTTACTCTTCCTCTCTTCTTGTACTCATGGTAAGGGCACATGTTGCTTCCTCAGTCTGCATGCGCTGGGCAACTGTTTGGTATGTTTTTGAATTTAATTTATCCTCCATCACTCCTTGCAATTCAAAATCTGAATAAAGTTTCTAAAATGTTTAAATTCAATTAGCAAAAAAAAAATAATAAGCTTTATCATCTCAATAAATAAAAATAGAAAAAACTATTTACCTTCACTATATGAACTAGACAGGTACACTGATAAGGATGTAGAGAGTGATCAATTCGCTCCGATAACCAATTGCAAAGCATCTGAATTTGTGCAGTGTACCATTGCTTAAAAACAAATTAAAAAATATTAGACATTAATATAAAGTAGTTCAAAAAACTTAAATAGCATTTTAAAAAGTACTGCACTTTTAACATAGATCCAATGATTTTCTTGAGAACAATAAATTAAGCAGATCATTGGCTTTAAAAGGCAGTAAAATTAATAACATTTAACATGTAATACATAGATCCAATCCATGGGAAGAGTCTACTCCTATTCAAACCTAAGATATAATTAATTTAAATCTAACTTTATCATTTGTTTTATCATATATATATATATAGAGAGAGAGAGAGTTATCATTTGAGTCAGCGGCTCAATGATGTAAAATCTACTTTGTTAAAAATAGTCAGAAAAAAGTAGCGGCTTCAGATGAATTATACGGAAAAAGACTTTGGAAACGAACATGAACCTTATACTTTGGAACATGGAATGTGCAAAGTTTATCAAATAAGAAACAGGAAGTGCAAAAAGAAATTTCTAGGTCTCAGCTAGAGGTAGTTATCCTTATGGAGATCAAGCTAAAAGGAAAAGGGCAAGAATGGGGGGGAATTATGTTCACTTGTGGACTGGTGTAGCGAATGATGAACGAGCAAAAGCAGGGGTTTCTATGGTGTTAAAGAAAAAGTTAAAAAGTTGGATTACGCATTGCGAGGAAATTTCTGAGCAGTTGATCAGAGTTGAACTCAATCTCTGGGGCAGATGTGTGGTGATTATAGGGGTGTATGCACTGGGAAACCATGAACCTCAGGCGACCAAAGGCTACCCGAATCCTACATCCAGTTCTCTGGAACACGCAGCTTTCCACTGAGAACAAGCATAGAATATTTACAGCTATAGTGGAAGCTATTCTTACATATGCCTCAGAAACATTGTTATTGAAATATCATACATCTGCACTCCCACACCTAAACCCAAACAAATCTCCTGGAGAGATCTTGAATCCTTAACCACCGAAAACATTAGCCCTTTTCTCGATTCCCTTTCCCCTTCCCTAGAGCGATTTTCTTCCATCCATCGATGACATGGTTGAATGCCTTTCCTCCAGCCTCCTTAATTTCTTCAATCATCATGCACCTCTAAAAACACGTATCTTTAGATATCCTCCCACTCTTTGGATTAATACAAAAATAAGAGAACTAATGAGGAGAAGAGAGGCTGTTAGAAGACACTACAGATGTACTCGACTGCCACAGCATTATACCACATTTAAATCCCTAAAAAACCTCACATAAATGTCCCTATGCCACGCCAAAGCCCAATACTTTAATAACATTTTATCCAAAAACCTAATCCTAACTCCACATGGACAATCCTTAAGAACCTCTCTGTTGTCAGCTCAAAAACCTGCATACAATAGCCAGTCGATCCGAACAAGCTAAATTCTTTTTTTACTAACCATTTTCCATCCACATCTTCATCTGACCACTCAAAATATATCATCACTAAACCCTTTTCGATGCTGATAAGTTTTATTTTCTCGATATCTCTCCTACTGACCTACTCTCTGCCACCCTTTAATCCAAAACGAACGATTATGGCCCTGACCAAATATCTGTTACCTTCTAAATACCCAATACCCTGCAAAACCTTCTACTCAATCCTTTACAATCTGGTTTCCATTCCCATTATTCCACCCAATCTGCCTTGCTAAAGATTACCCAAGACCTGCAATCAGTGATAGATAAACAGAAAATCTCCATTCTAATCCTTTTTGACTTTTCCAAAGCGTTTGACTCCATCAATCATGAGATCCTCCTCTCCAAACTCCCTAGCCTGCCCATATCAAGTAGCGTTTTAAAATGGTTCCTCTTCTTATCCAATCAATCACAGACAGTCCAATCAGTCCAAACCTCCATCGGCTCCCCTTCAATTAACACGAGGTGTTCCTCAGGGTTCCTTCCTCTCTCTGGCCCTTTTATCTATTTATATTAGTGACCTTTCTGGCGCCATTCACAACACTTCCGTTACCACCTGTATGCTGATGATGTTCAAATTTACCAATCATTCCAACTTTCTGAGATGCCTGAGGCTAGCCAAAAGCTACAAGAGGATATCGACTGCATCAAGAGATGGGCTGAAAGAAATGATTTAAAGCTGAATGCAGATAAAACTAAGGCTTTTCTCATCGGGTCTAAACATCTCATTAGTTCCCTTCCCTACATTCCTATACTTTACCTCAATAACCGTCCTATATATATTTTTCCTACAGTCAAAAACCTAGGCATAACCTTTGGCCAGAAGCACTTCTGTAACAACCATATCTCCCAGATTACTCGAAAACAACTGTCCTTAAACAACTACTAAGATTCCGTGATTGTATTCCTCTGAAAACCATACAGCTCCTTGTAACCTTCTTTATATTCCCCCACTTCAACTACGGCTGCTTGGTGTGTGGAGGGCAATCTGCCAGGCTAGAAATAAGATTAAAGAAGCTCATGAACTGTTTCATAAGATACATATTTGGTACCCCAAGTGTTCCGATGTTTCATTCAGGTACACCGAGTTAAAGAGGCTTTCTTCTACTTCCCGACAACAATTCCTCCTTGGCGTTTTCCTTTTCCAAGTCCTCAAAACCAAAAACCCTCCCTACATCCTGGAACTTCTTACTTTACGTTCCTTTATCTACTCTCTCAATACTAGGTCTCAACCTATAGATTGATGTATTCACTCCCATAAAACTACTTCAGAAAATCCTTCGTCATTTGTGCTGCCTCCTTTTGGAACTCTCTATCTAACTCCATATGTCAATCCTCATCCACAAATTCCTTCTAACAACTCCTGTTCCACCATCTACTCCATATTCAAACATCAGCAAACATGTCAAATTTACTTGCATCTGTACAAAATTTAATTCAATCAACTGTATAATTGCAAAAACAGTCAATAGTTAATTAGGCATCATTTTGTATTCATCTTAGCCAGAGTAATGTTCTTAATTATAGACTGTAGACTGTAGTCCCAGAATAAAATTATTTTTTAAACAAAAAACATGGACTATGAATTTCCGTTTGTACTCAAAGGTACAGGCGGTTGAGATGGATTACTGGAGAAGGTCTCTCCGTCTTACCAGACTGGATAAAATTAAGAATGAGATAATTCGATAGAGAATGGATGTAGGTACAGCTTAATGTACAGGTTAATGAAAAGATCGGGGCACGCTGCTTAAGGGCATGTGAGAAGAATGAGGGAAGATTGTTGGCCAAGCAGAGTCCTCGATTGGGTTCTGCCAGGGAAGAGAGGATGTGGACGACCCAGAAGCAGGTGGATGGAGAGGATCCAGGAGGAAATGGCGGGTCGAGATCTGAAGGAAGATGATTGCTGAGATAGAAGCACGTGGAGCTCTGTGCTGACTATGGAGGCAACCCTTAGATGGAACACCTATAAAGTAAGTAAGTAAATCTAACTTTTAATAAGTGGATTAATAATACTATGATGAACTAGAAAATTAAAATTTTCTCATTTTCAAAACATTATTTTTAATTACCAAGTATAAAGATTTTTTTGTTAGTATATGTTTTTAGGGTGTTTCCTTTATTTATTTTCCTATTTTGTTTATTGATATAAAATTAGAAATCATCTAAACTTCAGTTGACATCATTTAAACATCAGGTTACCCGGCAATGTATATTACCCTGCCCCTAATCACTTTTAGAGATAGAAAAAATGGTTTAAAAAAGCAACACAACCTTTAAGACCAAATGATTTGAGTCCTTTTAGCATCGGCTATTTCCTGAGCCAGTTCTCTGTTAGATATTTTATGGTTGTGCAGACACAATAATTTTAAATGTTGTTCAGAAGTAGAACTATGTTTTTTAGACCTACTAGAACGTTTCATGTCACCAGTTTGGTTGGTTTTTAAAAAATTTGGTGATATGATAAATTCCAGAAATAAAACATTAGACTTCTTTTTGAATTCCCCTGGTTGTGAGTCCTCGTTGATGGAAAATTATAATTATAAATGGAAAAATCCACATTATAAAGCCATGAGTTTCTAACATATAGGTGAAAAGTTAACCGGCCAATGTTTCGCCAATTGAGGCATCATCAGGACAGCAAAAACAAGACCAGACATACACAGAATGAAAAAATGAAACTGAACAGGTAAAAGAAAATGAAAAGTTGCTATTGACATCTCAGGTAGTCAGCAAAATATGTACTGAAGAAAAGAGAAGGTTCTATTAACACAAAATTATGATTTTATATCAGCTAAAAATATATTTTGCCATTTTTTGAAATAAAAGTAACATTTAACAGAAATAAAAAAAATATATATGAAATATGGAATGTTAAATTAAATTACTGAAAACAAAATTAAGAATTCCAATATTAGAATGATTTTCACAGATACACTCAGCTTTCTAAAGTTTATACAACAGCTCTTGACTTTAAAAATAAAGCGTAAAGACTAAATGGATAACAAAGTAGTGAAATTTAAACAATAAGGTAGCATTATTGATAGAATAAAAAAAGTCAACATAACTGATTGGTCCTTTGACTTGTTGTTAGTTGAATATAATGCTAATAAATAAATATATATATATATATATATATATATATATATATATATATATATATATATATATATATAATCTCTGTAAAGTTGAATCAGTTTACAATTAGGAAGGTAGAAACACTTTTAAATTGAAATGTATCATTTTTATAAAAATTTAGTTTGCTTAAAGACATTTTTACAGTACTGAATGTGTGAGTGTGTGTATATATATATATATATATATATATATATATATATATATATATATATATATATATTAAGCTACACTGAGTCTAAAACATTACTTTTTTAATTGTTATTCTCAAAAGTTTATTAAATAGAAGTTCTATGGTCGAATGTTACATTGTAATTCTATGCTATTAATGAATTCTTAATGCTACCTTATTGAAAAGATATATACATGCATATATATACACACACACACACACACACACACACACACACACACACACACACACACACACACACACACACACACACACACACACACACACACACACACACACACACACACACACACATATGTGTGTGTGTGTGTGTATATGCATGTATATATCTTTTCAATAAGTCCCCAATCACCAGACATGAACCCAATAGAAAATTTGTGGGATGAATAAGAACATCACTTGAAAAATCATGGTGTTCGAACTAAAGAAGATCTCAAAGGAGCTCTGGAATGGGGTTCAATTAGCAGCAAGGTAACTAAAAAATTGGTCTGTTGCATGAAAGATAGACTAACTGAAGTTTTAAGGGCAAAGGGTGGTTCAACAAGGTATTAAAAAGTAAATAATATAAAATTTGTATAATATTTTTGTTATGTATGGAAACCTTTTTGACTTAATTTTCATTAATGTTTATATTACAGTAAGTAAATTGAAACCAATGTTAATGTTATTTGGTTTAATTTATTGTCAAATAAAAATTGATTATTTTTTCAAATACGTTTTTCCAAAGAAAAATCAAACTCTTTGTTTGTATGGAAACTTTTTTGAGACAGTGTATAACAATTTTACAATTATTTCAGTGATGCCTTTTAAAAAGCTTATAAATATTCTTCGAAAAGCAGCAAAATTTCTGATTGCAGATGTCATCAACCTATATATAGATAGATATAATTGACAACAATAGTGCTGATCAGTGACTACCAATCTAGTATCTTAGAACACAATCAAAACCATAACCTTGGATCATAAATATTATAATTAATAAATTAAATGTGTACATCACTATATTCGTGTTCATAATTTTTATGTAAAATTTTTAATTTAATCCAGTTATGTACATTGGTAACTACTTACTTCAAAAAAATTGAGAATCCAAAGTTCATCATTCACTTTACTTCTGATTTGATCCATACAATTCCTTGTAAAATTTACATAAGCTTGCCCCATATCCTTTCCAGTACCTGAGACATTCTAAAAACATTTGAAATTCTCTTATTATCGGGTAATTTTTTATTTTAAAAAATATTATTAATATAAATGAATTGGGGTGAGGATGAACACTGATCATTCTATGAGATTATGTCCAGCAACAATGGGCAGAATAGTTAAGATAATTGCTAAGAATGTGTTGACCACTGACTCAGAAAAGGATGCTGAATATAACCTGACTACACATCATCTTTTTGTCAGTTTTAAGACAGCATATGATAATATTGGCTAACAGAAACTGTATAAAAGGAATGTACAACATTGGGCAGGTTAACATTTGTTACTTTAACATAGTGCCAACAAAATAATCACTTCAAATTTTATCATTACTATATTCATTAAGATAATAACATATTTTCAAAGTTTTATTTGATTTTTTATCCTTATATTACCTTTGAACTACGGAATTTAATAATTGTAATTGCTATATAAGATGTAAAATAAATTATATCAATTTTTGGAGGATAGGAATGGGTAGCTTTTTCCCAAATTATTTCCATGCCAAATATTATATACAGTGATTTCCTGGTTGTATTTTTATGTTCTTTAGCAATACACAGTGATAAAAATGTATACACTAACAATAAATAACTTACAGTTAAACTGAGAATTGATCCAATGAAACTTCCTTCATCATATCGAGACATTTTTGATAATGTAGCTTCCAAAACTGCAATTAGTTTTGATATCATACCTTGGCTCATACTTGCCGAAGTCTTTTCTATTAAATCATCAATTTTTGTGTGATACTGATGCTGTAATAGAAATTGAAATTTAAACATTAATATAGCATAAATTTCAAAATATTATTTTATTTTTTCTCAATTTATATCTCTAATTTTAAGAATATAAAATCATATTCTTAAATTCCTCCATAATTTTTCAAATCAGTTCAATTAAGTTATCAAACATCATTTTATATATTTATCTTGAACATAGTTTAGTCTAAATACGAAAAATAATAAATCTTGATTTTTTTGTTTCTTTGTGTTGATATCTCAATTGTTAAGATTCAAAAGCATCATAATTTTTTTGGCCATACAAAGATTTTTTTTTATTTACCAAATCAACACCATCCACAGCACAAAGCTTAAATGACTGGTTTTTAGCATCTAAAATCACATTAACCATTGCACACATTTCTGATGGTATAATATAATCAGTTGATATGAAAGTAACTCCCTTCTTCAACCAAGATTGAAACGCAGATTCAGTTCTATAACAATTAAACAATCATAATTAAAATTAATATATGTATAATATATTAATATATGTATAAATTATAAAAAAACAAACAATTTAATTTATTTAACCATATATTTTTAATAAATAAGTTTCCCCAAGAAATGAGGTTAAACGACTGAGGAAAGGTAGTACCTCATTCAAAATCAGAAGAATGGTTAAAAGAACTGCCAAATTTAAGTTAAAATCTCGAGGATCTTAAAACCCAACATCATTCTCTTTGCTATCTTTGCACAGTGGAATAACTACATCAATTTTAAAATCAAGCGATGAAAATAAAATAAAGAACCAAAGGAGAAAAATTACTCTCCTTCAAAAATAGCTATGTTGTTACCCCCCTTTTAAAAACAATCACATAAAGAATTCCTTATCCACTAAAAAATCCATAATCCAGAAGGTATGACAGGGCAGATCGAAAATGTTCAAATGAGCAGATAAATTCATCAACCAGGAAACAAATTCAGTGTTCTCAGAATGGACAAAGAAATTAAAACTGCTTTAAAAGGACAAGGAAAAATTTATGATAATCTCATCTCATATCTCCCATCTAAAATTGTTAGAGATTCTGGTTCTGGTGGAGGGAACTAGTCCGGCATGTGGGCCTTGTAGTCCTTTTTGTCAACCCCTGATGGCTACCTTGAGGTTGCAGCCGTGAACTTACCAGAGTGATAATATCAAGATTCATTTGGTGGTACTGCTGAAAAATACATTGTAATTGACCCAGGTGGGAATCGAACCCACAACATCCAGAATCACGCACTCTGGGATCCACTTCCCAATGTACTTGGCCATCATGTCCTCCTAAAAAGGAGTAGGATTTTAGAGGCTGCCCCTTAGCAAACTGAATAGTTTTTTTATTTTTTATCAAAACTTCTACATTTTTTTTTCGACAGATGTGAAAGTAAATTTCCTTTTAAGTAAAAATCATTCAAGAAACACTAAATTTTTTGTGTTTTAAAAATTACTTTAATGATCCACTTAATGTGAAAAGTTGAGTTCACAAACCTAGAAACACTCAAGAATAACTAAAAGCCTTAATTGAGCTTGACAGGAGAAATGAGATGAACTCATCAAGTGATTTCTTACCTAGAAAGCATAATAAGCAACAAATTCTAAGTGATTACTCTAAATAGGAGAATATAGATAATGGAAGGACCTGATTACTCATAGGGGCACTGGTAAGATATACTGATGAATCAGTTTAGTAAGGTAAAGCAAGGGATGGAGGGTATGGACCAAAGTTCCAGAAAATCATTACACTGTAATCATACTCAAAAGTCTTTTAAACTGAGATCTATGCAATAGGAATAGTAGACTACCAGAGAGAATTTATAGATGAGCCCAAAAGGAAATATAATTTATACAACATAAGATAGCCAGGTGACACTTAAATTGTTATGAAATTATTAAAACCTAGTATTAAACAGTTCAAACTCATCATCAAATTACAGGATAAGGGAATTTTACGTAAAGATGACTAGAAATGAGAAGAAAACAATGGTGTCCTCATTAGTCACTACTTACAAAAATATTATCCCCTGAACTGCCATTAAACATTGCAATAATCTATTTATTTATTTTTTAATTTTAATGAACTATGAAATAATATTTTTTAGAAATTTAATACAATAATTTACAAATACCTCTGAATGCATGATTCTATCATGTCACATGCCATAAGCTTTAATCGTTGTTCTAAATGTTGTCGAAATTCAGCATCAGGCCAATGTAAATCTTGAATAAATGACTGCAAAGCATCTAATTTCCAAAATAGATCTTCAGATGTGGCACAACCATTGCTGTAATAATAAAAATCACTCATTATTCACTTTAACTAATAAATGTCCAAATAATTAATGGAATAGCTCCATTTCATACCTCCTCCATATGAATGGAGTATCTGAGATGATATCATTTACAATGGAATAAGAATGAACCCGATTAGGTCATAACTAGAGTGCAGATCACAGTGTAATTGCATTCTTTTATCAACTACTCAGGAATCAATGAAAGTTCGTTATTAATCCAAACCACTTCAAATGGGTTTTAAACACAATTTGAATGCTTGGGGCAATTATGAAGTCCTACACTGATAAAACTGTGTCTGTTCCATTAGGTTCAACATGAATGTTTCTTGGATTGGTCATTGGCACGGTCAGGGTTGAAGGAGATAACACCTATTCTGGGGAAGATACTGTGGAGGCTCTGGGGCATGTCCATTTTCCTGGCTGCCTAATGCTACATCAGTATACAGTTAATCCTGCTATGGACAGTCACACTTGTGGTGGGAGGGGTGGCCGAATGGGCTAACGCGTTGTACACAGCACAACAGTTACCCGGCAACCTGATATATGACAAATGTGTTATAAAAATAGTCACGAGTTCGCGTCCCGGTGCCAAGGTGTCTTTTAAATCCCCGCCCACACCCCCTGGCCCGGGGAAAACCCCGTATAGCCTTAATGGCGAGGAAGGGGAGGACCCCCCTCCCAAAAAAGTCACACTTGTAGTAAAGATAAGTGGGTTGAAGCCAACAGAATTGTTAGTTCTAGGAGAGTTGAATTGGCAACTAGCTCTTTTGCACCGTTCAAATCAGCTAGTACAGGTATGACCTTGACAACCCTTTTGCAAAAAGGTCTACCTGTGATTAAACCCTACCTTCTGAAATTATTTAGGGATAGTTAAGCACTTGCATATATCCCGAATATGTGGAGGGAAGCAAGAGTTTGTTATATATCTAAGCTTGGGAAAGAGTCTTATGACAAGCCCAAAGCATACAGACCTATATGTCTGACTTCTTTCCTGTTAAAACACAGAAAAATATTATGGATAGACATATTAGGGATTCTACATTAGTAGAAAGACCGTTACACTGTGCTCAATTTGTCTATCAAGCAGGCAAATCCTGTGAGACAGCATAGTATCACTTGGTCTCTAGAATCGAGAAAAGCAGAAAGAGATTATTGTGGTTATTTTTGTTGAAATTGAAGGTGGATTTGATCGTACCCCCTCTGAAACAATGGCTGGAGCATTGGCTAGGAGAGGGGTTGGACTCTTGGCTTTATAATAGATTAACTCGGATATGAGGGAGAGAGTCCTTAAATCTGAGTTGGGACAATCCGTAGAGTGGATTAAACCTGGTGGAGGGTGTCCACAGGGGGTGTGTTGTCTCCACTTTTGTGGTGTTTGGTCATCGACTACCTGATTGTTAAATTGAATGAGGCAGGGTTCTATTCTCAGGGGTAGGCTGACGATATCGCTGTATTGATAGGGGGCAAATTTCCAGATAAAATCTCTGGATAGCTCGTAAATACGATGAGACTTCTAAACTAAAAGAATGGTGCTAGGACAATGGGTTTGGCATAAATCAGCAGAAGATAAATCTTTGTATCTTCATTAATAGAAGGAATGTCAACATTAGACCACCATCATTAACTATCTGTAGTGAAGTAAATAATCTTGTGATTACTCTAGATAGTAAGTTGAATTGGCTAAGTTATACTTTAAAATTTTGTGGTAAGGCTCTATGCTGTCTATTCTGCGCGCAGAAGAGTTATTGGCAAATTGTGGGGACTTACACCCCTATGGCTAAACAGGACTGTGATTAGACCCTTAATACTCTATCTGATTGTTGTGTGGTGGCATAGGGCAGCTGTAAGCAAACCTAGAGTGCTGCTTGGCAAACTTCAAAGGCTTGCATGCCTTATGACCACTGGAGCTATGAGCACTACTCCCACAGCAGCAATGGAACTTCTCTTAAACATGACACCATTTCATTTAGAAGTGGAAGCACTTAGAACTGCCTATAGACTGGATAAATTGGGAACAAGATCGAAATTCCTGATGTTTCCGGGACATAGGAATGTTTTTGATAGGATTGATAGCGATGAGGTGCTCGTGTTAAACTCAGAAGATTGTTGATAAATATAGAGACATACTCTATAATTTGATGATTGACAGGAATAACTCACATAGACTGTGCAATGGAGTTATACTGGTCATCTGTAACATAAACTATTATACCGATTGATCCTTGACTGAGCAAGAGGCTGGAATCTGGAGAAAGGATATACCTAATGAGGGAATATTCATATCTCTAGGTAAACATATGTCTTTCTTTCAGGCCGAGACTTTAGCTATTGATTTCTGTGCTCAATTACTAATAAGGGAGGGCATTATGAATCGATTGATTACAATATATACGGATAGTCAAGTGGTAAGTGAGTTCTTGAATAGTTATGCAACCATCTCCAAATTGGTAGATGAGTATAAAGGCAATCTGAACCTTCTCTGTAGTACCAACAAGGTGAGGGTTGAATGGGTGCCTGGCATTCATGTATTCCAGGTAATGAGAAAGCCGATTGCCTTGCTAGGAAGGGCTCTGCACAAGTGCCTGTTGCACCAGAGCCCATCTGTGACATTAGCCTTGGCTGTGCCAAAAGGTATATTAAGACAATATCTGGTAATCAATTTAAGCTTTATTGGGAACAGAATAGGGAACAAACTCATTCTAAGTTGTTCCTAGAAGGACTCTGTCACAAGAGAAGTAAATCGCTTTTTCTAATGAACAGGAGCACCATTAAGTGTGTGTGTGACTGTACACTGGTCCCTGTTGACTCAATAAGCACACCTTTAACTTGGGCTTAAGTGAGACTCCCACATGCAGGCTGTATGGCTTGGAGGATGAAACAGCCTATCACATTAGTTGCTGATGTGATAATTAGGCTTGACTGCGATACTTTTACTTCGGAAGTGAATTTATCACTGACCCTAAGTGTTACGAACTAATAGATCCTATTAGTATTAACAATTTCGCAAAGTCATCTGGCCTATTTTAATAGAGTTTAGGACAATGCACAATAGGCTCCATGAGGCTGTGGAGCATCCCTACGTCGGAAACGAAAAAAAATGACACAATTTTATGCTTCACAAAATTAAATTTTTATTTTGCTGGATTTAATTTTTTTTTTGTACAAAATAGAATGTTTAATGATCGAAGATAACAAAATTAAAAGCAAAACTTTTAATGTGTCAACAAGTTCTCTTGATAAAGTAAACTACCCAAACTCATGAATCAACATACTTTATACACATTTTTTAAAAAAGACATAACACATTCCTTCTTCAAGACGAAACTTCTTTTATTTTAAAATAGTTCAAACTGAGCATTCAAAGTGAAAAGACATAAATCAACATGCTTGGAATCCCTTTTTATAGTCCGAGACTCCGTGTAAAAAAATTGGCATTATCTGAAGAAAATTTTGAAAGGATTTTTTTGAATATTCATAATAGTTATATAGCATTTCCAAACCAATTGTGATCTTTTCCATTTCAAATGTAACTTTTCCCAATTTAAATGTAACCCTTTCCAAATCAAATGTAACCTTATCTGTTTCAAATGTAACCATTTCCAATTCAAATATAACCTAAAAAGGTTACATTTCAAAAGGAAAAGGTTAAAATTGGCTTGGAAATGCTATATTAAAAAAAATGAGAATCTACCAGTTGGATCATGCTACCTGAAAAAATGGTGAAAAAAGGTAATTTTTTCAAAAAAATGCATTATTTGAATAATCTATGTAATGCAATCTAAATTTTATTTTAATTTAAATTTAGAAGTTAAAAAATAAAACCTTTGAGGCCAGGCTGGGTCCACTTTGGAATCTGAGTTGAGTTTAATGTTATTAGAAAAAAAATTAAATTTTTGTACCTTTAAAATAACAAAAAACTTACCCTTTGATTTCCCAACGTTCTTTCTCAAAGCCTTTATGGATTGATTGGGCTATCGATGATTCCATTAAATCTACATATCTCACTACTAATGGAGCAAATGTATCACGTAAATGTTGGTGAAATCTACCATTCTTCAAATTATCTGGGAAAAAATTATTATTAAATTATTTTGTATATATGTATATATATATATATATATATATATATATATATTATATATATATATATATATATATATATATATATATATATATATATATTAAAGAAAAATTATTGTTTCATTACCATCAGTTCTTAAATAGTCATTCATTATCTGAAATAAGGGAAATGAATCCCAAGTATCAGGAGGTTGTTCAGAAAGAACTTGATCCATGTCTACAGCAAACAAGGACCAGAATATTTCAGCATGTTCCACAAGAAGATCACTAAACCACGCAAAGGCCTGTTGCAAATCATGGATATATATAACACAGAAATTTATCGATAAATTAGTATGGTTTAAAATTTGTTTTAACAAATAATACCACTATTATATAAAATATAAAGATTATAAAAATTATTCTCAATTTTTACAAACAGTAAAATTACTGCAAAACTATTCAAGAAAAATCTTAAAAAGGAAAAATAATTTAGATAATTTAGCAATGGTTTAAAAATCATTAAATGTCATGACAAACACCAAATAATTAATACAAAATTACGACCAAATTGATAAAAAAAATTCATGGTTATAATTCAAAATTGATATTAAAAAAAATAAATAAGTACATAAAATAATTAAGAAATTCATAAACAAAATATTAAAAAAACAATTAAAACACGGTAAATAAAAAAACTTCTGATATAAGACAAGTGCTTAACAGAGGTATTAATATAAAGAGATCCTAATATGTTAATACATCAGGAAAAGTTGTTATAATAAAGTTGATGAATTTCAATTATTTTGTTAATTCAAAACTTTGGTTATGGTAAAGTAAATGTTATGTCCAATTGATTTAGTTATGCCGTTATAAATATATGCTACACTCATGAGTTTTACTTTTACTTATTTTGTTTCATAATAAAGTTCATAAATAAATCTCCCCTCCTCCCAAAGTGCATTCTAAGTCATTTAAAAATCTTCAATTTTTTTTCTCAAGAGAAACAATTACATATATAAATACATACCACAAAGTTTTATATAATGGGCTTTGTGTCTAATCGGAGAAATCTGATGGTATTAATAGTCTAAAAAAGGAGCGAAGGTGTAGCCATCTCTCAACAAGACAAAATGGCAGTGGAGGTACATCTCCAGACCAGAGTCTGGTAATGTAGGCCTACTGGATCCTTTTACCAATAGTAAATTTTCCTGACTTAATCTTGTTTGTATTCTTGGTGGTTAATTTTCAAAACGTTTTTTATTCTTTTAAACTAAACTTAAAGACATTTCCTTTTCTTTATGTAGTATTTATCATGTGGATTTTTAAATTATAATTAATATTGGTTTATTAATTTTTTATAAATAAAATAATTTTAATCATTAATACTTTTATAATTTCTTTGTGATAATGTTAGTAAAATGTTTCTTTATTTCATGTATTTTTTCAATGTTTTCTTCATTGTAACTGAAGTATAAACCAAGTAAAATTATGTTCCCAGATCAGATCTGTTAATTATTAGAAATATCCACCAGTAATAATAAAATATTCAAAAGAGAAGTTTAAATGAATGAAACCACATATACAAAAAAGTTTTTTTAATCAAACATTCAATAAATGTCTGCTTTCAGTCAGCCAATACTGGGATATAATAAAAAAAATAACATGAATAATCTAAACTATAAAGTACAGTGAAAACTTTACCCTAATAAAAAATATTAACCAGAAAATATTTATAACAAGATAGAGCACTATTATAATTATAAAATAAAAATGATTAACTGATTTTATACAGTTATGAGCACCTAAATCATCAAGGAACGTTTAACTAAAAAGGAAAGTATGAGATTCATATGCTATGATCCCAAGTTAGTGTACTAGAAAAAAAAGAGTAAAGTAACAAATCATGCTTTTTTCAGTTCTTACCTCATGTAACATTTTTGATATCCTCTCCAACATTTCTTCAATTGTTCTTTCATATTTTTTGTGTAATTTCATTAATCCAATTACATTAAATTAACAGTTTAATGATCCAGGTTAAAGACAGCTCAAAATTTGATAAATTTGAAAGTTAAAGATTGAAAATTGTACTAAAGCTCAATAATGTTGCCTTAGGTCTTAATACTTCATTTTAAACCATCATAAGTGTCCGATTGTCTTATAATGGTTTCTTGGCCTACAACTATAAAAAGCAACTTCTCAGCCATCATAACACAATAAAATCAAAATGTGTTTCTACCGTCATACATTAAAGCTTCTATAACAACATACAATGATACGAAAATTGCTCATTTAGAAAATAATGAATAAAAAATAAAATAAAAAAGAGCCTAATACTCTCTAATATTTTCTAACTATAATCTAAAAATTTGATTTTTGAAACAGTGATTCCCAAACCCTGAGCCTCAGAGCAAAATTACCTCAACCCTAAATCATTAAGTATGACCATATTAAGATTTTACAGTTGTAATTAAACAACATTAATCAATGACATGAATAAAAAATTTATACTGGCTGAAGGGAAATGGGTATAGTTTTAACCCAAATGCTGGGTCAGTTATATGAATACTGAATAATATTTTTTTTTAATATGTATATTCTACCTATTTCATTGTAAATAAATGAAAATAACATGTCAGATAAATCAAGATTTTTTTACTTTTATTTTGTATCTAATCATATAGATTGTCACATCATTTTGAAAATTATAATAAACAAAAAAAATCTGACAGCTAAATCAACCAACCTCTTACCAAGCAATAATAGATAACACTTATTCTCCGAAGTATATAGCCAAAGCTATAATACTACCATGTAAATCATTATGAATTAATTGTATATAAAAATGACTACTATAATTCTATAAGTTTAGGAATCACTTCCCTAAGGCAACAGTTTTTCTTTAAGGAGATTCCACGATTGTATTTCCATCTTTCAAATATACAATTTTGGGTTGTCTTTAAAACTCTATTAGCATGTATTTTCTTTGATCATCAATTAAAATAGATATTGCCAAACACAATTTGTTTTTGAACAATGAATGTAGGTGTTCCTCCCAATATCTAAATAAAAGCTGGCATATTGGAAACTGAACAAAAGTAAACATATGTTTAAAAGTTATTTTTATTTTGCACTAAAACTATCTACCATTTTCTTAGACAAGACATAAAATTGCTGCTAAAATTTTTCTGATAAACTCAGTATTTCTTTTCTTAATGATAGATTTTGTATCCTCTAATTGATTTAGGGATATATATAATACAAAATAATATTTGGTATGTTTCTAATAATAATTTGTCATTAACAAAGCAAATCTTATTTCTTCGTTTACCTAAAAAAAGTTACTTTATTCTATTAATTTCCATTACAATTGATTTTCTTTTAATTGACGTCATGGCAATGTCAGCTACATAGGGAAAAGTTTTGTGCCAAATTACTATTTTGATATATTTGAAAAATATCGATATTGTTTTTTCAATATTAATATTCCTACTTAGTACCTATAGATGTTCTCTCTTCCGATTTACTAATCTTATGGACAACCAATTTATTTGTATTGCTTGGTTTAATTATTAACAATATTGCTGTAAACATTCTCAGAGGTACAGTTTATTGTTGTCATTTGTCTAAAATCTGCCTTTATTCTTTATTGAGTATACTATTTTTAAAACTGTTTATTAAAATGCAATCTACCTGACTATGGTATGTGATGAGATTCTGTGTGATATTTGCTATAGCTTTGTATTTAGATTAGGGAATGACCGATACTGATATTAATATCGGCATACCAGCCATTTGGCCGATTTTCAGTATCGGCCGATATTACGGTATATCAGCTTATTTTTTTTTGTACTCTACCAAAAATTTGAGCAAATACTGATACATCGACCTTATGACCCTATTTTATTGTGTATATATATATATATATATATATATATATATATATATATATATATATTCCTCCCATGCCAAAAATTTTAGCAAGACTGATGTATCGGCCTTTTGACCTCATTTTATTCTTAATATATATATTTTTTCCTCCCCTTCCTCTGATTATTTTTGCCCTTCCCTTGGACCGCATTTTGGCCTTAGGACCTTATTTTATCGAGATTGATAAAGTTTTGCATGGAATATTATTCTCATTTCTAATAAGAAATAAAAAGTAGAGTTTGGCTTTTTTTTATTATTTTCCCTTCCTCCGAAATATTTTTTGTCCTCTCCTTGAACCGATATGTCCACTTTACCATTTTAATTTATCGAGATTGACAGAGCTTTACAGGGAATATTATAGTTATTCCTAATAAACATGAAGACTAATATGTAGGCCTAATGTTCTTACAACCCCTATCATTCTTACAACCTTTATTATCGAGATTGATAGAGTTTCGCTTATAATATAATTATTATGGCTAATAAATGAGTCAATCAGTCCAAAGGATCGACATATACATAAATTTGAATATATACCGATATTGCAAAGACCCATATATTGGCCTTATGGCCTTATTAGGTTTAGATTGGTAGAGTTTGACCTTCAGTTTTTTATATTAAATTTATCACTGAAACCTTACATCCTCATTAATTATGTATGTAACAAAAATATTATTTAAAGACATTACATAATTAATACAAATATTTAAAAAATAAAACCTTGTAGACCAAACTGCATTCCCTTTAGAGCTGTTATCTACCAGCAAGGTTTAATTAAATGATTAAATATTAAAAAGGAAATCAATTATATATAGCAAAAAACAATGGCATTTAATTTATATTGTTAAAATAAAACAAGTATTTTAATTTACGAGAAAATAAAATCATTCTGATAGTCGAGACACTACCAAGAAGAGCACCATGTGGGATGAAGTAGAAACTAAAGCGAAGAGTGGAAGTAAACTGTGATTTCACAATGATCCAGTCACCACGGAGCCGTTTATACCTATTACCACCACCAGCTCCAAGCATTGAGAGGAAAAAATCACAGTTGAGACAAATCAATTTGGTTTGTTACAGTGATTTTCCCAGAGCTGTCATGGAAAATCTTTGTCACACCTCATCACTAGTAGTTACTTCATGGCTCATAGCCCCAATATGGTAAACAAATCCTATTTTTGACAGGACTTGTGCAGATAAGGCATTGTTTGAAATGATTCAATGTTAGTAACAATGATAAACGTCATTGTGGCAGACAGCCAGCACAAACATTAACACATGTTCTATAAGACAGATCTTTTATTCAAACAGAGGCCAGGTAGTAAAGATGATTCTTCTCCAAGAAGATGAACAGCATTAACCTCAAAATAAAATT